ACTCTGATCAGAGATTGTTGATAAACCTATAAGCCTTTCGCTCATAATTTAGCATATTGTTTCTGCTATCTGTCATTTTAGAACTTTAACGATCGTATGTGATGTTTTTATACCCGTCAAATCTTTCCCTTTTTCCGAAAATTTAACCTAGATCGACTGTTTATGAGCACGTTTTCCTATATTTTCATTAAAGAAAACCCATTTTACAAATAAAATTACAAAAATACTGACGTCTAGAACGGATTAATTGTATTTGCATTAATTTCTATGGGAAAAATTGCTTCGGTTAATGAACGGACTCGTGGAACGGATTACGTTCGTTAACCGGGGTTCCACTGTAATTCACAAGTATTTTGTCTAAATTACTTTTTTGTGGTTTATTGATAATAAATTTAGTTATTAAGTTGAAAATATGTTAATATGCATACATAATGTATAATTTGTGTTGTTTATTAAATTCTTTTCAGAATTTCTACATAAACTGAGGCCTAATATTGAACTGACTGAGCTTACAGATAAAACTGTCAGTTTAGGAGCCACTACAACTTCATTAAATGAAAATATTTACAACAATTCAAAATCTTGGAAATTATCAGAACAAATTTATCAACAACAGTGTACAGAATCTGTTGTAATATCTAAAATAAAATATAAAAAGTCAGATCCAAGACAATGTAGATTAACAGATGGCTTGATTCATTATCTTTGTAGAGGCATGCATTCATTACATACTATAGAAGAATCAGCTTTTATAGATTTTGTCACTTTGTTGGATCCAAAATTTTCTATTCCAAGTTATAAAGAACTTACAACAGATTTAATTCCAGCATTGCACGAAGTTATTAAAAATAACATTATTTTGGAATTGAAAAAAGTAGAAAATGTTTGTATAGCTCTTGATTTTTGGAATATAAGCAGTAGTAATTATCTTAGTGTAACATGTCATTTTATTAATGAAGAATGGATATTAAAGAATTATTTATTAGAAACAGTACAGTTTTCATGTGCAAGCAGTTCCAATGAAATAAAAGAAATATTGAATGAAATTTTTTCAAAATGGAATATAAAAGATAAGGTACATGTTATTGTATGTCACAATGATACAAATTGTATTAATACAATTAATAAAATGGATTTGATTCATATCCCTTGTTTTAGTCATATTTTAAATTTGGCTTTAAAAAAGAGTCTTAATGCTGGAATAAACAATTATGTAGAAAAATGCTTAAAATTAGGAAGAATTCTTTGTCAATTAAATGATGAATCCTTATGTTTGCAAAAACAAATCTTTTCAAAATTATCTATCCAAAAATTAATGGTTAAGTGTAAAATAAGTTGGTCATCAATTTATTATTTAATAAAGCAAATAGTAGAACAGAAAGAAGCAATTTGTTCTTTAGTTCTTGAATTAAATGAAATCCTCTCAGAAAGTGATATGATCATTTTTGAACAGTTAATAGAATTGTTAGAGCCATTTGCAGAATTAACGGAAGATTTGATTCCAGATACTTACCCTGTGATTTCAACAATAAAACCAACATTATATCAATTGAATAATCATTTATTGTCATCATCAAAAGATGAGAAGTGTATAAAGATGATAAAACTTGTAATACAAGAATGTTTGAATGACAAATATCAAGAAAACTGTCATAATTTTCTTTTAGAATCTTCATTTTTAGACCCTAGTTTGAAAAAACTCCCCTTTCTTGGATCTAATGAGATGTCAAAGTTGTGTTGTAACATTAAAGATAAAATGGAAAATGTTCAGAGAAAGAAATTTTCATTAACAAATAAAAATTTAGAATGTTGCACATCAGAACCATCATACAAAAAATTAAAAGGATCATTAAAATTGCTGCATTCTTTATATGGAAATTCTCATGAGTCTGTATTAAATGATAAAATTTCAGAAGAACTAAATCATTACATAACTGCAACAAGTGTTCCTCTAGGGACAGATATTTTACGTTACTGGAAAAAGCATATTACTATTTATCCAAATTTAGCAATTTTAGCTAAAAAATATTTGTGTGTTCCTGCATCAAGCATTCCTAATAACAGAGCATTTAATAATGAAGGTTTTATTATGAACTGTAAAAGATCAATAATTCATCCAGATAATGTAAATGTACTTACATTTCTTAATTATAATCTCAAAGAATAAATGAAATAATTATGTAAAAGTGAATTAAGTCATATTAAAGCATATAGTAAAAGATTTTAATTGTATTGATTTATGCTTTTTCATCTATTTGTTATCTTTTGGTAATTTTATTTTAGACTTATGAGAATGGAAACTACACAGTTAATAAATCTTACATATTTGAAACTGATATGTATTCTTTAAATTGTTATATCTTGGATATTTTCATTACTTTTTATTTTCTTATGTTATATAATAGGTCAGGGATGGTGAATCTATGATATGCATGCCCAGAGTGGCATTCAGGAGAAATTATCTGGCATATAACTTATATGATTTCTTTTACTTTTTTAAATTTATTTTCATTTTGGTTTATTATTGATTTTATATTTAGTTCAGTATATCATCATCCTTTTCTCAGTCAGCTGCTTCTTTATGTTTATTGTAATTAAATTGTGAGATTCTAGAGGAAGTAATTAAGTAATTAAATTAATTAGTTAAACTTAAGAGAAGTGGGAAAAACCCCACTTCCTTTTTCTCACCCACTCGTGATACTCTGATTGATAAAACTGATCAAATATCGGTCTAAGTCAACAGTCACTAGGATGTTTGGACTTATGTGACAATCTTAGTCAAGAAAGTCAATTATTAATGATGGGAACTGATCAAATGATTGGAATTATGAGGTATGACAAGTCATCAAAATGGCTAGAAAATAGCCATAATTATACCAAATTGTCCGGTTCTTGACAGCCCATATCCGTTGAACCAGGACATGACTCGAACTTAGAACACATGAAATCAAAGTCACCTGAGTCAATTCTCACATGCAACATGTATAAAAAGGGGTCACACCTGATCATTGAGCAGACACTTTCCCAGAAGCAAGAGGACAAGCTTCTGTCTGTTGCCACTCACCTCGCCCGCTCCTGTCTCTCTGCCAAGATGTTCCCAACTGGAAAGGAAGGAGGACGGACTACTTGCCACCCCTACTGACTGCCAATACTGGTGTGTTTTGCCAACGTCCCATATAAGATCCAGACCCATTGGCCTAAGAGGTATATTACTTAAGGAAATGTAAACACTCTCTCTTAGTCAGTTAGCATATGAAGACTTAAACATAAGATAGTCAATTAGTCAGACTATTGTGCACTGACACTGGTATTGTCAAACAATAGTGTCTTGCATGCCTATCTGTAAACATATAGTCAGAATATTACTGTAATCCTCATTTTAATTAGTTTATTAAATATCATTAATTGTTAACCTTAAACCTGTCATTCTTCAGAGGATTCGGACACCTTATCAACTTACCTGCAGTCTCCCCACTCAGTAATACCCCTCCTAAATTCTAGCCATCCACTGACAGTATGAGCGGTCATCACCTGACCGATGTCGGAGAACGGGTTAAGCCTCGTGCCTTAACCCCTGATTTCTCACAAAATGATTATTGATCTGATTCATATTCATTTGATTTCTTTAAAAATCATTACACAAAGTCTAAAACTTCAGCATAAGCATTTTTAAAGATAATTATGGCACTTGGATTACAGATTTTCTGGACTCTTTCTGGTACCGTAATATTAGTAATTGTAGTAATTGTGATACTCACATTTTACTGGCATACACTTTTTCTTATGCTTGCTGCAATACTTGAGCCATTGCAGTTTTTTGTTCATTTTATCTTTTGTAATTTTATTCTATGTGAGATAATATATGCAATGGCTCAAGTATTCCAGAAAGCATAAGAAAAAGTGTATGTCTGTAAAATGTGAGTATCATAATTACTTTGATATTACGGTACCAGAAAGAGTCCACAAAATTCTATAATGTGGTCCNTTCTTCTGCCATATCCAAGTTTTGTACCTTATATGAGTACATGAACACAGGAACAACACTCCCATACACAACTGTTCATGTCTCTTTGGACATCCTTTTATCCCTTGCAAATTACTCATTGCACACACTACCTATACTTTAGCATTCACTATTCTAGTGAGTATCATAATTACTCTGATATTACGGTACCAGAAAGAGTCCACAAAATTCTATAATGTGGTCCCAAGCATATCCCTATCCCAAAAAGGGATCTATGCCAACTAATTCCACCAGTTATGGCAGCAGTAAGGAGCTGTTCTCAAGAAAATCAAAGAATAAACCTAGAAATTGCAGCAATCTCGGAAATACACTTGTCCCAGCAATATTGAACACCTAAGCTGATTAACAAAGAATGTACTGCAGTGAAACAGTTCCTTTTAAAAAGGAACTTAAGATTGATCACGTCAGACAAAGTTAAACAGTTTGTATTGTGCGAAAATGATGATTTTCTACTTAGTTCCTTTTATGTAGGCTATTATAAAATTTGTATATTTCTTATTTAATAAAATATTTATTAAATAAATTGTAATTTTAATATAATAAAAACAACTATGTTTAATATTTACTGAAAAATTTATTTTCATAAACATAAGTTATCTTCTTTGTTATCAACACAACACTTGTGTGTTGGATGATTACTATTAGCAATAAAACCTTTTTTACAAATATTACAGATGCAAGGTCTGTCATCTACATGAGTTCTTAAATGTTCTTGGAGTTCAGATTTATATGAAAATCCTTCTTTACAAATATCACAGAAATATAGTTTTTCTANAACAAATTTGTTTGGAAATTTGAAAACCTATAATATACTAAAACTAATTTCAGTCCAATTCATAATTATTTATGTAAAATAAAAATAGTAATACAGTAGAGTCCCGAAAACTCAGCCTAATATGGACCGAAGAGTGGCAGAGTTTGTGAAAATGCCGGGTTATAGGGAATGAGGTTGAAAAAGAATAAGTACGAATGTTTCATCAGAAAACACTGTACTGTACTTGTATGTATTGTTTGCTTGAGAATACAACAGAGAATAAACTGCCCAAATACCCTTAAACAAAGGAAAAGTACATACTGTATGAAGGCATAGAGCCTTTACTACATGAAAATAAAAATTAATGAATACACAATGTACAGTAATTTACCTGATAAGAAGACCTCAGAAAAATACTTTATGAGGCATAAAGCTATCTATAATGAAAATTAACTAGGGGTTTTTTTGCCTTGCCAGGGTGTGGCCGAGTTATCTGGACTGCCGAGTTTTTGGGACTCTACTGTATTTCTTAAATAATTCTCTAAATGTTTATTAATATTTCATCATTCTAATTGATTTTAGGATCAGTAATTGCACCAGAATAATTTTTAAAAATTATTAATTTAACTAAAACAATCTCAATTTAAATTGATAGGCAACTGAATAGACAATAAATATTGACAATAATTCTCTTAAAATAATTCAGTTAAATTCTAGACTTCTGTCAGAAGTAATATATGGATCTGGATATTCACTTTCAGGTCTATATTAATTGGATTCTTTAAAATTTTATAAATTAATTTGATAATTTTAATCAAAATTGTGTCAAAAAATCAATATTTGTGAAAAGTAAACAATTATATCATTTTATTTTGATTTACAAATACAGGATGATTCAAGATCTCTGGCATGATAGATATTGTAGAGAGAATATTTTATGTGCAGCAATTCATATTCCCTGATATACTGTTTAGGAGCTATATGACTCTGCAGACAGGTTTTATGTGACAGGTAATACAATAATGAAAAAGAAATAATGGCATGAATTATGTATGCATTTATTGTTAAAGTTCACTTGCAGTCAGTTTACAGATATTCAAAGTGTCCACTCTAAATTTCAATACATTCCTACATGTGGTGTTAATAGTATGGGCAACAGCACTTATGCTAGATGAGGACTGATTGGTGAATCTATTAAGTACTGCTTCTTTGAACTCAGCTGTCCTCACATTCCATCTGCCCATACTAATATGATAGACAAGGCCATCCTATTTTGTGAAAGCATTGATGCAGATGAGCAAACTTTGTATGGTGTGGGTGTAACTTCAGTAAAACTGCTGTTTTACGTAACTGTTTTACTCCTCTGGCTTTCTCATAACATATTATTGTCAGTAGGCTCAGCTGAATTATAATGTTCATCCTTGATTACTTATCTAAGTGAACTGTACAAGGTAATCTGACAAGGGTTGCATAGCTCTTAAACATGATAGCTCTTCCTATGAGATCTATCATGCTGCAAAATCTCAAATCACCCTTTATTACAATCATCATATTTTTAAGAAATGTTTCATAATTCATAGCAACAACATTACATTATATTAACTTTATTTTCAAGCATGAAAATTTGAGAGAAATTCTTAAATTCAACTCAAAAAATTTCAAATTACAACGTAGATTTATATATTTTATATTTTAAATATTGATACAATAAATGAAGATTTACTGTTTAAAAACATTCACTATTATTATAAAAGATACTTTATTTACTATTACATGAAATTTAATAGTTAAGATGATAGAGAAAACTTTTTCATTTGAAAAAAGGCATTTTCAGTGTTAGTTGCATATTCTACATACATACTTATCCTCATGCTCATAATCCAAAATGGGTGAGCAGCAGGCAAAAAGAGACTACAATCTTACAAAGTATCTATTCAGTAATTTTCTCCACATTTTTCTGTCCAGCTACATCTCTTTTGCTTCAGACACTCATGCTTCTTCTATCACACTTCCTCATTCTCTTTCTGCTTAACACCTTATGTTCTTTCAGATATTCATCCACTGTTTCACCAAGACTTTCTTGACGTTTCCTACTTGCTTCCCATCCATCTTTCCCATGTATACTCTCTTCAACAGTTCTTTCAACATGACCAAACCATTGCAAGGCTGATTTCTCCACCTTTTCAATCATATTCTTCCAGCACTTGTTCATTTCTCACACATCCTTGTTATGCCACATATTCCTCTCAAATATTTCATCTTTTATGTAGTAATGAGACTTCTGTGATTCTTCTGCCATATCCAAGTTTTGTACCTTATATGAGTACATGAACACAGGAACAACACTCCCATACACAACTGTTCATGTCTCTTTGGACATCCTTTTATCCCTTGCAAATTACTCATTGCACACACTACCTATACTTTAGCATTCACTATTCTAGTGATTTTACTGTTTATCCTTCCATTCCTATCTATCATGCTATTCAAACTCATTCACTTGTTCCAATTGTTCACTACCCAGCCCAATTATGCAATCCAATTTTCTCAGGCAGATCTACATAGGGACTAATAGGGCTTAAGCTTTGGGCTCCCAAGTATCAAGGGCCTACAAAAATTAAATTATCATCATAAATTTTTAATACTTTTTCTGATAAAGTTTGTCATTCAATACCATTTCATAAATAAATACATTTCAACTCAGATTTTGATGTTATGAATTTTAAACCCCAATTTAAAGATTCTTAATCTTACAAAAAATGGGGGTCCTATTGGACTTCAATAAGCCCCAGGCCCTGAAAAACTTAGATCTACCTGTTTGCTCAGCTTTGTGTTCAAGTACAATTACTTTAGTTTTACTTATATTCACTTGCAGCATATATTCCTCATGCCTCTTCAAAATTAGATATAAGTGTCTGAACTCTCAATTCCAGCAACAAATTACAATATTTAAATCAGAAAATACTTTATTAAGTCTATATTTTCAACTTTGTAAATGGTTTATTAGAAGTTAAAACATAAAATTGTATTTAGTCCAAATTTAAAAAATTTTGAAAATAACCATACATTTTGGAATACATAAACATATTCTACATAAGATTTCTTTTTCTAGGCTATGTTTATATATTTCAGCATCAGACTATAATTGTATAACAAAATAGAATATAGCAAAATGTACAGATATACAAAACCCAATAAATATAAAGTGTTTTTTAATAGTTGTTTTCTTCTGTTGGAATTTAATAAATTTCAAAAACATTTGAAATTAATATAAATCATGTTTGATTTTAGTAAAAGTTTTGGCTGTTTTATTTATGATTTTACTGTACAAACATTTTTACATCTGTAAAAATGTTTGTACAGTATAAGACCATTAATCTGGCACCTATGGCTCAGAGAGCTACCAGATTATCAAAAATGTTGGATTACAGATCTTTTTATATTTTTGCAAAATTTTATGTTAAATGCAATCTGGACATTGTAGACATTGCTGTGATTTTGTAACCAGTGCATGCTGATGTATGATTCTGATATGTTTGTACACTCTCCTTAATCAGTTTGAAGAAAATGCAGTGCTACTCTTAACACTATTCTGTGTTAATGTAGTCATGCTCTGTCATCCCATTGAAAAACATTGATGAACAGGTTATTGCACAAAATTGACATTTGTGATGATTCATATGCATATAATAATTACATTTTAGACATACTGTAATGTGCAGTTCACAAAAACTCCAAGTTTGAAAAGTCTATTTTCAGGTACACTGTCCTTGCATTGTCCTGTAAGAAAGAAAATACACAAAACATTTGTACTAGCTCCAGTGATGATAAGTCTTGAGACAGTCTGAAGACCATCATAATAATGTCTTGGTATTGTGAAGTATGTTTTGGTCTTGTCATTCCTTTATTTGGCATTTTATAACAGTAATAAGTAGCCCTATCAGTATCAAGCTCTGATACAGATGTTTTTCTAAAATAAAAGTTGTCTCAAATGTTTAAAATCCAAACATAATGGAGAGAATATACAAAGATTATGAATATTTGCAAACAATCTTTATTTTTGCTATTTAATAAAGTATTTTCTCTTCATACAGTATTTATTGCTTTGAAATATAAATGACCTAAAACCAATCAATTTGATCACCATTTATTAGTACAATGTGTAATTGAAATAACTTCATCTTCGCCTGATATATTTTTAAGAAACAACAATGTCCTTTTATGGAGTAGTTTACATGCATTTGTTTCCATTGCAAATAAGTACAAAAAACCAGAATCAGTATTATTTTATAATGCAAAGTATTTGTTTGATATAAATGAAAGGATTAAAAAACAAAAAATGAAATACTTGGTAAAAGCAAATTCTAGATGATGGCCAGTACAATCTTTTTATAACATCTTTGATCTTCCTACTGTTAGTTCTTTGTAAATTACAAGTGCATTAACTGGTAAAAACATGAAGATAGGACTACTTTACTATCACAACTTTAAAAAAAAATTATTTGAACAGTATGCAAGTTCAAGAAAAAGAACAAATCCCTAAAAATATTTCCAATCCAGAAATAAAAACAAAAATACTTAAAATTTTGTCATTTAACAGATATATGTGCAATTATTGTAAAAATTTGTTTATGGAAAATGTGCCATTGCAGCATAAAAAGTGTAAAACTTTAAAATAACAAAAAGTCATAAAAATGATTTATACTGCTTGCTATTTTATTATTATAATTTTATATAAAACTGTTATATGTAATTATAAAAATATTTTTATTTAGATAACAAACTTTTGTAATTTATGGTAATCAGTCATAATGACCAGCCATGGCAATGATAGCTAATTCACAAATCTGTGATTTTAGTGTTAACTTGTTCAATAGTCTTGCAGTATTATGAATAGGAATTTATAATATATAAAGTAGTTGTAAGAAACACACAATTTCTTTTGTAATAATTAATAAGAAAAATTCTTGTTTTACTATTATTTTTTTCTTATCATGCAAGAGAAGCACTTTTGTTGAATTATACAATTGAAGAGCCTGCATAATAAAATCAACATACAGATTTGTGCTTTTACTAATGAAGGTTATCATTACTTAAAAATACTAACAAAATCAGACTTACTGTTATACAAAAAAATAAGATAAATATAAAGATCATCTAGTTCATAATTGCAAAAATTTCACACACTAAAGTTTGCAAACACAGAATTTACTTTATATACAAAAAACACTATATTGTCTAACATATTTGAAATTAGTTATACATTTATACAATAAGTTTTAAATAATTTATCAATAATCAGTTTAAAGAATTAACATAGCAATTTTACATTTGACACTAATCATGTAAGTGTAATTTACATAAATATGATTCTTATAAAATAGATAAAACTATAGTTACAAAACTTGAAATGACTAGAATGCATTTGCTAGATACAAGAATGAAATGCATTATTTCATTTATATTTCAATTGAACAGCTGATACTTTTCACATTACAAACATTTCAGAAAAAAGTGTAGTTGACAGAAAAATTTAGCTAAAAAAATTACATTTTCAACAATACAATATTTTAATAATTAATAAATAATTAATAAATTGAAGTTTAAAATTTTCTTAACATGTTAAATAATTTTAAATTTTTTGCATTTCATTGATATAAAAAAATACTGTAAAAAGTTAACTTTGTCCCAATAACACAGCTTTACAAATAACATTTTAAAATCATTTAAATAGAATTAGTTACAAATCAAGCATCTTCAGACTATATATATAACCTATATAATAGCTACTTTCATCATACAATTATTTTTGTGTAAAGATATAAGGCTAAATACTTTTCATTATTATTAAAAAAATTTTTCTTCAAATGTTTATAATTTTATCATTTAATCTTGATTAATAAATATGACATAATGAGGATTTAAAAAAAAGTCAAATTACATCAGTAACATTTTTAATGACCTACTTTTTAGTAAAAATCATCAATTTGATCACCTAGTTAAATTCACTACTAATTTTAAGAAAGATAATGGATTTGTTAGTCTTTAATCTTTTATCAATATTGTAATATGCATTACAATACTGTATTGATAAAAATCATACAAAAATTAAATCTCAATTAACAAATCTATTTAATCAATAATACTAGTGAATTAACCAAATATCCATTTGGACTAAAAAAATGGCTATTATACAGTATACTAACTTTATTCTTTCTCTCTGGCTATTCTTTTTCACAGAGGGGTGCCAGATCACTGAATGTGAAAGGTCTAAAGGCATTGAATGAAGTAACCTGTCATCTTCAGCATTGTATACACAAATGCAAGCCAAGTAAATAGGAAAACAGGATCTGTGACATGACTAACATTTTCATGGAAATGAAAGAGGAAAGACAATCACATTGGTGGTATGCCTGATTAGCAATTGTATTATACAGTTTCTGTTTTCACTAACAGTATATGGAATGCACAAATATTTGGCAGAGTTAAACTTTTAACAATTGTTAGATCAGTATATGTCTTTTAATTCACAATAAATATATTATGCAATAAAAGATTTTCTATAGTATTATCTATAACAGATATTAAATAAATTGTAATTTTAATATAATAAAAACAACTATGTTTAATATTTACTGAAAAATTTATTTTCATAAACATAAGTTATCTTCTTTGTTATCAACACAACACTTGTGTGTTGGATGATTACTATTAGCAATAAAACCTTTTTTACAAATATTACAGATGCAAGGTCTGTCATCTACATGAGTTCTTAAATGTTCTTGGAGTTCAGATTTATATGAAAATCCTTCTTTACAAATATCACAGAAATATAGTTTTTCTAATATGTGATTATTTGAAACTACTACATTACAAGTTTTGTCAAAATAGGATTTGTTTCTATTGTGAAGTTTTTTATGTTTTTGAAGATAGGCATTACTCACAAATCCTTTATTACATATTTCACAAGTATGAGGCTGTTCTGTATGGATATGTTGATGTTTTTGAAGATCACTACTGTCAGCAAAATTTCTCTTACAGACATCACATGTAAAAGGTCTCTCTTCATTGTGAACTTTTTGGTGTCTTAGAAGATGACTACTACTGGCAAATCCTTTTCCACAAATTTCACACATGTAAGATTTTTCTCTTCTGTGAGTATTCTGATGTCGTTGAAGATCACTACTACTATTAAAACCTTTTTTACATAATTGACACACATAGGGTCGTTCTCCTGTATGAATTCGCTGATGTTTTTGCAGACAATTACTAGTTGTGAATGCCTTTTTGCATATCTTACAAATATAGGGTTTCTCTCCAGTATGGGTTCTATAATGTTCTTGAAGATTGCATTTATATAAAAATCTTTTATTACATAATTGGCATACATAAGGCTTCTCTCCTGTATGTCTTCTTTTGTGTTTTTCAAAATCACAGCTATAAAGAAATCCTTTATGACAAATTTCACAAATATATTGCTTATGATACCTTGGTGTCTTATATAATTGATTTAATGATTTTTTAGAGTAGCTTTGATTTATTTCCAAAGAATTTTGGCTTTGTACCAATGATGATGATTTGGATAAATCCATTTTATCCACTGAAGAAATTTTATTTTCTGTAAAATATAAATATATAAATGAATCATATAAATAAATATAAGGTGGCCCAAAAGTCAAATAACCATGTAAACATTAAACTGTAGACTTATTCAAAATATTTCATTACTTACAAACTACTAAAATTGCTCAAAATGAGATTCTTCTTGTTCAATACATGATGCTTTCTGCTTTAACTTTTTTAAAATCCTTTGATAGCTTGTTCGAGTGATTCCAAATTCTGCCAATGCCTTTCTTGTTGATTTACCTGGGCTGGCATCCAATGCCTTTGCCACTCTTTGTACATTATCATCAGTTACTGCAGTTCTTGGTCGACCTGATCTTGGTAAGTCTACTACTGCTCCTGTTTCTTCAAATCTTTTATTTAATTTGTAAATTGCCTGGCGAGTAGGTGGTTCAACAGCTGGATATTTTTCAATAAACAATTTTCTAATTATTGCATATTTTTTATCGTGTTTCCACCAATTTTGTAAAAGAAAAACACGCTGTTCTAAACTCAGTTTACGATTCATATTCGCAAGTATACCTGGAACATATAAAACAAAACATGGTTAACTGACTTTTGGGCTACCCTATATATATATATATCTAAATTACTTTAGCATAAAGAATTTTTATTAATTTACATTTTCTTATTTATGCTATTATTATATTTAATTAAACTTATAATTTACAGTTTGCTTATTGTAATATGTAAAACTGTAAATAGTCTAAAGATAAACAGTTTTATTCCCTTAAATATTTTCAAAATTTAATGTTAAAATGTTTAATTTGCTGAAGATTTACCCTCAGTGTTCACAGAATGGAAAGAATTATAATATTTATATTAATTAATTTTTTTTAAACTTCCAACATAATGAACTTTTATATGATAAATTAATTCCCATTAATAAAAAAATAAATGTTATTTCTTTGATAAACTGTATTCATCACATAAAATAATTAAATTAAACTTTTGATACTTACTGTGTGAAATAACACTCCTTTTGCATATGATATATTTGTTAAAAAAAAGTGAATAAGGAAATAATGTTGTCATAACAAAACTTATTTAAGATTTTTTAATAAAACAAAAACATAAATGCTTAAGTTCTCACTTTACTGGTTTTTGCAATCAAATAAGGAAATAATTATTAATAAGAAACTTTGTAGTTTATAAGGTTTCAAGACCATATTATTTATAATTCATTTGCTCAGATATTTTTATAGTTTTATGATGTATGAAATTTTTAAAAATTATGCAGAGTGAGCAAGTAATAAGTTTACTTTTAAGATATGAAGAAGAGAGTTTGGAAATATACAAGTCAGACTTGGCAATGGCATATTGCTTAATTAATAAAGCTGCTTTGGTTAAGCTACTGGAGATTGTTTTAAGTGAGGTGTCCAGTATTATATGGAACTGTTTCATATTTTTTTGTTCCATTGTCTCAACAATTTTTGTTGGAATCTGAAATATCCTATGTTCCAGAAAAATGAATATCCTGTATTTTGAAGAATCTTGGTTCATTTTAAGTGCAGTAGGTGAAAAAAGCCACATTTGAAACACCTGCTATTAAGTAGTAGCGAGCAGGTAAATGAACATAATGTATTTTATTAAGTACATTGAAGGATTAAATACTAACAATTGATGGCTATTCTGTGTGCAAATGTAGTTTCTAGGTTAGTTATCGGCTTATAATAGAACCTGTGACTTACTCAGGAACCTAACCTGTTCATAAAATTTTTGGAATCCAGATCCTTCTGGTTGGCAGCATGCACCTTACTGTGTAATCAGGTAGGTTTTTGTTGACAAACAAAAAGAAAAAATAATATTTAATGAGTGATAGTTATCAATAACAATTATTGTGAAACAAAGAGGGGTGTTATTTTTTATAATAATTAATACAAACACTAAATTATTGTGGTTGAGATTACAGGACGATCTCAAATTAGTACTATAACTACTTAAAATTGAGACCTTGTGGACAATTATTGCATTTATAAAGATGTTTTATTCAATTGTAAGTGATTATAGTACAAATTTGAGATCATCCTGTAATCTCAACCACACTATTTTAATGTTTATATTAATTATTATAAAAATAAAAATAATTAATAAAAATAAAATTGTGTGATTTTTGTTATTAGCTGTTTGCCACATTAAATTGTGGCATTCCTATTTTTATCTATGACCATATGCAAGCAGTCTGGTAGGAAGGATAGGCAGGGATACAGGAGCAAGAGGAAGAAGGTGCTGGTGTCCTGTATTGGCTGTACCAAAATCTGATCAGTTTGCAATATATGTTTTCATAGGAAACAGTTCTACAACCATTGTTTTGCTGTTTGCAATTGCTATTTTTATGCAATTCAAAATGTTTACTAAGAAATGATACAAATTAGTAGCTGATGTTATAAAGATTATATTATAATTTTTATTCCAGTATAAAATATTTTAAATACATTTTTGTTTGTGGCAGCATCTTAAATTGTCTTCAATGCTTTCAAACTTTGCTGCATTAGCATTGTACCTACTAATTTAAAATGAAAGTTACTGAACTATTTTTTTAACAAAGCCATTTTAAGCAGCTTTGCAGACAATGCACCCAATGTCATAAGTAAATGTCACTCAACTGACTTATCATATGTTAGCTTGGTTTTGTTATTTAAATTAAATTGCAATAACTGCACCATAAAACAGAATTTTCACATTAGAAAGCTACATAGAGAAAAGTTATCAAGCATTAAAGCAACAGTTTATGTAAAAATATTCTGAATTATCTGTGCCTACAAAAATTTACAAACAATTTTTTAATAAGTAGAAATTCATGGCATTGTTGTGTAAGAAAAAAGAAATGTCAAACAAAATGTTATTTGAAATAGTTGGACACTTTCAGAAGTGAGTCCCAAATAACTTTTAAGGCATTTAGCTTAAAAGACTGTACTATCTTTTGGTTCTGTTCATATAACTACAAATTGAATCAAATTTTGGCTTTATAAAGTAATGGTTGGTAAAGTTTAAAATAATAAAACATACTTCACTAGCACTGGAAACATATAATATCTTCAGACCATTAAATCTCTTCAGCTTTCAGCAAAACATATAAAATAATACTGATATGTTCAACTTTGAATTCTACATGTGTTCTGTTTGATGCATTCCAATTTGAAATGAGCTCTAAACCTGAAGCTGAAATCAAATGGATTCCAAAAACATTAGTGAATTGCTACATTTTATATGTTTTGCTGGAAGCTTAAGAGGTTTAGTGGCATGAAGATAAAAGTTTAAAATGTTATCTTTCAAATATATAGTAAATGAATGTTTGTTCTTGACATGTAACATATCAATAACTGCCAAGTCTGACTTGCAACACCAACCTCCTTATGTTACATATCATAACCTAAATATTCAGATAGGCTAGATGACCAAGACAATTAAGACATCAGTGTACTACTGGGAATCTCAGGAGTTTTTCACAGGATATGTCAGGCACCATTCTTCACCTCCTGGCTGTTTTTATTGTGGGGCTGGCCAAACCCATGATGGATATGGTTTAAAGACCATTTTTAATGTGGGAAATATTTAAAAATCTGAATATTCAAAAATATATTTTTAAATATTTACTTTTTCCTAGATTGCTTACTTAATATATTAGGTGTTGTTATTAGTAAATAAAAAGTTTACTTATAACAATTTTTATTGATAATTATTATTAAAATGATAAATTTAATCTACTATTCACTTTATTAATATACTTTTACATTCATTATTAAATAACTTACTTCCTGTATAATTAGTAATATAACAATAAGATGTAAAATTCTTAATTTATTGATAACATAATAACTCATCACTTATCAAATAAATATTACACAACAACTAAGAAATTTTAATATTACAAAAAGATAATTTTGATGATTCTGATAGTATCTGGACTTTACTTATGAATACAGCATGATTCTACTTTGCTATTCAGAATGGAAATTTTATTAATATTAATAATAAATTATTAAAGAAAATAAATGAATGCAGAAAACACTTTATTAGGAATGATCTATAATATGTATATTTCTAAAAATTAAATCCTTATAAACATTAAACACAGTTAAATAATATTTATATATATGCTACCGCTAAAGCTCGAAAGTCGTTAATATGCACATTACCTAGCTAATCTGCAGATTAACTAGGGTGATCCATTAAAGTTGTGAAAATTGTTCCATTTCTCAAATTACCTAGATAATGTGCAGAGTATCTAGATAATCTGCACATTACCTACTAGGCACTTGGTAAAGTGAAAATAAGATCTTTGCCACAAATAAATGTATCACAAATAGGTGTGCTTGTTGCAAAAACGAATTGCTATGAAATTCAAAGTGCCATCAATCTTTAGACTGCACTAATAAGTAAGCACAATTGGATAATGTTACCTATGGTGAGTAAAATTGCGGCTCATCTCTCATTCCAGCAAAGAGAAGAAAGGAAACGGTGGGGATGCACGTTTTAACCTAACCTAACCTATTCTAATAAATTATCATAATTATTACCAACCAAATTATTAGAATAGGTTAGGTTAGGTTAGGTTAGAATGTGCGTCCCCACCGTTTCCTTTCTTCTCTTTGCTGGAATGAGAGATGAGCCGCCATTTTACTCACCATAGGTAACATTAACTGCACAATTATATCATGCGATCACCAGAAAAAGTATGATAACTTTATTATTTTTCATCTCTGGTCCAAAAGTAGGTTATTGTTGAAGTCGTTTCAGTCCCCTCAGTTCAGATAGACACTCAGTCCCAAAATTCCATATAATAATTTCCCTAATTGTATTAATATTTTAAACCGTTTGATTTTTTGTATGTTTTTTAATTGGTTGATGATTGATTCTATCAACTAATTTGTTGATTGTTTGATTGTATTAACTTGATTCTTTAGATATTGAAAATTAAATAAAGAACATTATGTTAATTTAAGCGTACAGAAACGTTGCTGTTGTTCCAGCAAAGATCTTATTTTCACTTTACCGAGTACCTAGTAGATAATCTGCACATTACCTAGGTAATTTGAGAAATAGAACAATTTTAGCAACTTTAACGGATCACTCTAGTTAATCTGCAGATTAGCTAGGTAATATACACATTAACGACTTTCGAGCTTTAGTGATAACATATATATTTTAACCAATTGTTTCAGATTTTAATTTATTAAAATGATATTTATTACCAATATTAATTTACCTTCTTTTTTCACTTCATAGAAAACTAAAAGTTCTTTTTCTGGTGGTATAACTTTAGAAGCACGAAAGAAGATTTGTCCATTATATTGAAATGCAATCAAATTTTGTTCTTCTTCATTAGATGTGGAGTTAATATATCTCATCCAATTTGTAGAAAGTTCTTGTTTATCACCTTCTTCATCAACAGCTTCAATCTATGAAGCACAATTAAAAAAGTAAAAATGAGCTTTATAATTTACTAATCAATAAACTGAATAAATCAAAATCACAATCGATGTATTCTATTTACTAATGAAACCTTCAATTTTAATCATAAATATTTTTCTATTAAAGTGGAAAAACAAATGTATGAAATAACCACTACAGGAGATTCTCATTTAAATTTGGATAGTTCAAAATCCCTTTAGTTCGTAACAGTACTTTTGGTCCTGACCACAGATATAGAGATTTACAAGTTAGGGAATTCAGTTAGTTTGAAATGTGGCTAATTCAAAATTCAAAGTGAAAATTCTGTCTAAACAGTGATATGCATATGTTAACTCATTTGTTTAGATTGAAGTGTTTCCATGCAATAAGAGAACAATAGACTGAGAACAACTCTAATCTGGTAAATATGGCTTTGCTTTTACAGTAACACTTTTTCAGGATCATCTTACCTATGGACTACCTCTTTTTTCTCTTATCTCATAAAATATGACTGGTTGTTGGGATTACAAGATTGGACTGTAAATAGCAGATTGAGATATTTATAGGGATCTAGGTTCCTACATTTGATTGACTTACTACTTTTTGGATTACTTTAAAAATATAGTACTTTGGGCTAAATTTCAAGGAATTCTGCTTTACTTTTTATAAAATCTATTCTGACAACTCTGAAGTTCTCATCGGACATGTGCTACTTACCTATAGTTTATATTATTATTATTATTATTAACTAGCAGACCTGGCCAAATGTTGCTGTGGCTCAAAATGTATCTATTATAAATGTATAACACTCCCCACGGGAAGGAATATTGAAAAATCCCTTCATAGTGTACATTCTCTTGACATACCCTAATAAAATGCAATCAAAAATGCAAAAAACTGCATGTAAAATAGTATAATAGAAGCAGAGTTCTTCACGATAAGCCTTAATCCTGTCCCTCTTCCCTGCATGGGGGGAATTTTGACATCTATATATTATAAAAACACATGCACATTCAAATGCAACGTTGTGTCAAAATTTGAAAGCAATCAGTGAAGAACTTTTGGAGTTTTAAAATTTTGAACAAACAAACATTACATTTTTATTTATATAGATTAATGAAAATAACATTCTGTATACATAGCTGTATTGCATTTGCTTAATAAGTTACATCAGTTACATGACATTTGGCATATTGTACAAAAATGTGTAAATCTTGGATAATTCAAAGTTGTGATTATTTCGTTCCTTGAATTTCAAACTAACGAGGATTTGATGTATTTATATTTATGCAGAGCTTAACTCTTCAGACAATGTCTTTCATAATATTTGGGATATTTCGTAGTACAGTAGAGCCTCGAAAACTCGGCACTCCAGATAACTCGGCCACACTCTGGCAGGGCAAAAAAATCCTTAGTTAATTAATTTTCATGATAAAGATAGCTTAATGCCTCATAAAGTATTTTTCTGAGGTCTGTCTTATCAGGTAAATCACTGTACAGTGTATTCATTAATTTTCATTTTCATGTAGTAAAGGCTCTATGCCTTCATAAAAGACGTACTTTTCCTTTGTTTAAGGGTATTTGGGCAGTTTATTCTCTGTTGTATTCTCAAGTAAACAATACATACAAGTACAGTAAAGTATTTTCTGAGGAAACACTCATACTTATTTTTTTTAACCTCATTCCTGATAACCCGGCATTTTCACAAACTCGGCCACCCTTTGGTCCACATTAGGCCGAGTTTTCGAGGCTCTACTGTATTTATCTAACCTAATTTTGAATCTTTTACATTTAATTTGATTCATACTTGCCAACCTTAGATTATAGTTGAGGCTGACTTTGATTACAAAGGCTGAGAAATAATAATAAAGTTTATAGAAACATTGTTGACAATTGTTGTAAGCATTTATTCAATCTTTATTCTCTTTATCACAATAATAGATTTATAATATTGGGTTTTCCTACTAAACAAACTACTAGTAATAAACTACTAGTAATAATACTAGTACATTGTATTATAAATAAATATATAAAAAAGTTCAAAAATGGTTAAATTTTAACAACTAACCAAAGATACTAGATTTAACATGAAAAACACTGAATTGACAACATAAGGTATTGTTTGGATTTTTTTAAAACTCTTTCTATCTTTTTGGCACATCATTGGTTTATTTGGTTTGTCGAGTTGGTTGGTTTATTAACCACATTATTGGTTCAGCCAGGTAGTGAGGGATGGAGCCTGACATATCTGGGATGGACCACTGCTGAAAATTTGCAAAGGTTTTTTGATCTGACTGTATTTGTTCCTGGGTCCCTCAGAGTCGTAGGCCACATCTTAATCACTTGACCATCCAGTCAGCCATTCTCAACACTGGGCATACTACAGTTGCATTAATATGAATTGCTAGGAGAACAATAGTTAGTTCACTTTGTATCAAAAATTTGTATTAATGATTTTCAAGGTCAAGGTTGTATAATTTACAAAGTTAAGGATTAATAGGCAATTAAAATCTCTAAATTATATTTTGAATTAACTTACTAAATAAAGTTAAATAAAATTAAATTTATTTACAAAAATAAATTAATGATCTAAATGATTTTCAAATCAAACAAAATGAGGAGATAATATTTGCTGTTTAAGTGTGGAGCAGTATATCAGCAGAGTGATTAAACAAAACAAAGTTAAATCTGTGATTTTTATTCTGTTGAAAATGATTTGAAAAAGTAGATTATTTTAAAAGATGATTATTTGAAAAAGTATTTTCTACTTCTTATCACCTAAAAGTAGAAAATACTTTTTGGTGACAAAGTAAAAAAGGAGCCAAATCCTGACATCTAGTGTTACCACCCATCCGGTTTTCACCCAGACAGTCCAGTTGAACTATTAATTTTGTCTGGGAATTTCGTAGAAATTATGAAATTACGATGAAACAAAGTTCTTACAAATATTTTTACAGATTTACACTATTTTAAACAGCAAAAGAACTCACACTCACTGAAACTCATCTGCAATTCTACCATGTTAGTCTGTTTATGTCAACATGTGGTGCACATTCTGTCTTTTTTTTTTTTTTATGTATGATTGTACATGTCTCAAATAGAGCTAAGTTATATGTACCCGTTCTTTCTTAATTTAGGTTACTTACGTTACTCTTATGCAAGTCCCTAACTGTAACTAATTTAGGACCGGCATGCATGTGATTCTTCGCATTGTAAAATGACATTGCGCATGCGTCAGGAACTTCTGTTTGAACAAACCTGACATGCTGTCCGGGTCAACGATTTTCAAAAGGTGGCAACACTACTGACATCACTGTATGCACCTTCCAATATGCAAACTAGCATATGTTTGTATCGAACCACATCTATTTAAAGGAGTGGGCATTCTTAAACTTTAATCTTGTTTTCTAAGTACAATAGAATGGTCCACTAAAACCAGATGTTTGAATTGGTTTACAAACAGAGGGCAAACTCACCTTTGCTTACTAGAAGAAAAATCTATTCTACTCAAAATAGAATATTTATTACAGTACCAATTTGCTTCACTTTTCAATGTGAATAATAAAATCATTATTGGAAATGGGGTTATTTCTTGGGGGTTGTGAAGGTAATTTACAGTTTGGTTTAATGAATTCTGGTAAAGTTTTTGTTCACTTTATTGCATGAAAATTAATGTTGTGAAATGGTGAAATTGTCACAGCAATGGCAAAAATTCATTTTAATGCAAGAATTTGCTTTATCATGTTTGATTTAAGGTGAGTCAACTGTATTAACAATATGGAACTGTATCAACAATACGGCAGTGGCATTGAGAAAGAACTCAATTTTGCCAGCCTATCAGATTGATTTCCTCATACCAAAGAGTGGAAGATCTCATATCTATCACATTTTGGACATATTTTGTATGCAGCAATTTTTTAGAAAAAATAAATTTCTTATAATTTAATCAGGAATTTAAAGTTTCTGTTAAAATTTTCATACGTGTATGAGAATTCTTGTATGTCTGGCAACATAGAACTCAAAGAAAATATTACATCGGAGCAGATAATTTCTAAAAAAACTGCCAAGAAAGCAAACTTGGAATGTTTAGTATTGGTATAAATCCTTGCTTATGAAGACAATACATTAAAGGTGTTATCTGAAAAAGGCAGAGAATTTCTATGTCAAGCTGACTGACTGACTACTACTATCAAAAACAGATTCTCAGCCTGAAAGATGGAAGTTGGCAACTATTTGGATTATTAGTTCCACTCCAATGATAGCTGAACTGCTCATTTAGGCTGGAAGTCTAAGGTGTTGTTTTATTTTATTAAAGTACTTATTTTGACATTGAAAAATAGAGAGCTGAATATAATTGTAGTATATTATGTGTTTTTCTATGTCATATTCTTTTATAAAAATCATTATAAGGCTAATGTCAGAGGAGCATGATTTTATGTCTGTCGATTTTCATGTATGTCACAAGATTGTATAAAACACATGGGAGCAGTCAGATGGATGCAGATGCAAAAAATCACATTGCACAACATGGATGGGCTGCTGGATTGTCTGCGATAATCTCATAATGTTGCATGAACATTTGTACTGGGAGATAAAATTGAAGCCTACAGTTGTCAGATGAGCATGAAAAATGAAGGATGTGGTAACATAGTTTCAAAGAAATACTGGGTTGGCCTTGTTCTTGCTGAAGGATGTAAGATATCTGCATATTCTAAAAATGGGGCATGGATATTAGTAAAACGATCATACAAATTAGTGAGGAGACAGAATTGAGAGAAACTTCAGTTGAACTTTATAAGAACAGAAATAAGAAAAAGGAAGGCTGGTTACGATCAAAAGAATATAACCAATATTGCCTGTGTCTTTTTTGTTTTTAAATACTTCTGTACATAATAAAAAAAATGGAACATCACAATCTATGAGATCCATGCTGACATATACACATCCGAAATGAAGCATTACCAACATGCTCCGTGAAAAATAGCACTCAACTGATGACCACCTTTCT